TTTAAAAATAATTTCACGAAAATTCGTTTATAAAAACTTAGTTTGACCGACCCCTCCTTTTTTTTCCGAACTCTTCCAGTAAATGCGACATGCTCCATTATGGACATAAAATCCAAGCTTACCTCTATGATTCCACTATCGAGGGACCAATCTCATTATACCACACATCTTCTTTGTCTTGATCAACTCTTCAAGTTTGCAGCAAACAACGATTGGCTCCTGAAACCTTTTGATGTAAAAAACACTTTCTTGAACTAATACTTGGAGGAAGAGTTATATATATATATATAAACCCACCACCGACTGTGTAAAGTCTCAGAAAGGTGTGCAAGTTAAAATGGGCGTTATATAGCCGGAACAATCACCCCATGCATAGTTTAGGCGGTTCTCAAGCTTCATGAGGAAAGTTGGGTATAAACAAAGTGACGCAGATCATACGTTTTTTACAAAAACTAATAAGGGTAAGGTGACTGCTCTTATAGTGTATGTCGATGACATGATGGTTACCAAAAATGATCCGGGAGAAACGGTGAAATTGCAAACAATACTTCCTACTGAATTCGAACTAAAATATCTAATACAACTTAAATACTTCTTGGGTACTGAAGATTCTTGATCTAAAGCGAGAATCACTATGTGTCAATGGAGATATGTGTTGGATTTATTAGCTGTGGCGGGTTTGCTAGATTGCTAACCGGTAGACACTCCAATTGAAATGAACCATAAGTTGTCAATCTTTAAAAATCAAGTACCTAAAAATAGAAAAAGGTATCAAAAACTTGTGGGAGAACATATATATTTGGCACACACTAGAGCAGATATAACCTATGTAGTAAGTTTGGCCAGTCGATTCATGCTGTTGGATTAGGTTTCTAAGCCCATAAATATAATTGGTATGTACTTGAATTGATAGTAGCAATGTCCTTTTGGGTTGCCTTCAAACATGACAATTGAATAGGATTATTGTTGGAGAGAGAAAAATGATTTATTAATTTATTACTTGGTTAATAAATTAATTAATTAATGTATTATGGATATAATATATTAATTAGAAATCATATTGTTTAATTAATATTTAATCAGAAATTAATTTGGAATTAATTTTGGGATTAAAGGAATTAATTGAAACTGCAGGGACTAAAGGTGACAATGTTTAAAAGTTGAGCATTGAGCATTCTAGAACCTCCCTTAGAGGGATGGAACAAAATCTAGAGTGTCCTGGGGTTTCCTTGGGCTCTAAGGGTGCCTTGGAACCTATCGTGTAAACCTATTATTAAACACTAGCGCACGACTAGGGTCCTAGGGTCAGTGGGAGTCTAAATGATCTTGAAAAGTTTCAAGAACTAATCAAGAGTAAACCTATTATTAAACACTAGCGCACGACTTGAGGTTTGTAACCTATCGTATTGACATATCCTTGTTTATGTCCCATTCCAGTTTAGTAAACTATGCATATGAGTTCTACGAGTTCTCAATAGACTGCATAAAGGCAAGCACCTTGTTCAATGAAAGAACATTGACAAGTATAGGTGAACTGCTAAATAACTTGGAAGCAATGGTGGGACCCTTGATGGCAAGAAATCAAGTATGAACAAGTTATGTCCATATGAGTTTGGATTTGTCACGAACATTATCTTACGATGATGGTTATGACAAATTCACATGGATAGGAACACATACACCATAAAATCTAAGTGTCATAAGGTTTCTCTCCTTCATGAAAATGATTGTGAGGTAACGCTTTCAATAAGAGAGATTTTAAGGAGATAGCGATTATGTAAATTGCATTCTTAAATTCGATTATGATTACGGCATCCCTCTTCATAGTTCGAATTGTGAGATTTGGCGATTAGTCTGAACGTTTGGGACTTAGTAATATAAGTTCTGAATTAGTTTGGACACACATGTGAGCTATCTAAGGAAAGGTGTATGAGTTTGAGAAGCTTAGATAAAGGCTTATCGAAGCATATCGTATTAGAAAAGATGAACTTTGGAAGTCAATAAGTATTGTTTTCTAGAAGTCCAATTGTTTTCTGAATACATGTCAAAGCTAGTGGGAGCATAAATGTTATGCTGGTCTAGATATAATTATCATGTTAGTGGGAGCATGATTATTATTTTAAGTGTTGCAAGTTAACAATATTAATTATAGAAAACAAAAGTTTCACTTTGCAAAGTTGCAGGGGTTAAAAGGTTGTTTTGCTATAATTAAGGGAAAAAATATTATACTTCGTTTCGAAATCTAAAAGCTTAGATCGAGAAATTTTAATTGAATTTAGTCAAAGGACATATATGGATGTTATGTTGAAAAGATTCAACATAAAGGAATTCTATATATGGCAATATTATAGCAAGAAACTGGTAAAGTATCACGTTTTTCATTATGAATCGTGTCCCATACGCTTCGGGTATAGGATCGATTGCATTTGCTGTAATATTTGACCGTTCTAAAATTTTCCAAATGCCTAGGGCATTAAGAGGGAAAAAGGACTAGAACCGAATTTCACTAAAATAATTAAACAACTGTCAAGGACAATCTAAGGTTCACCAAGGATTAGTCGCTTGTGAGCAGTTGGAAGAATAGTAACGGATGGACCATATTGACATTATTATAAATAGATAAGACTATATTTAGAATGAGTTGTCATATGGCAAATATGGAAACGTTTCCATATTGGGAGTTGGACGTTAAGAATGTATGTCTAGATTAGAAACTTTTATGCAAGAAGGATGTTCAAAGGAATGTACTTTGAATGTGAGACTTCACATCTATGGGATTGTCGTGTAACAATCTCTAATAGAGCACTTTATAATTTCATTGGCCGAGTCTTGGTGACTTTTGTGCCGTGACATTACGAAAGGACTGTTGCATAAAATGTTAGAATCTAACAAATTCTACTGGTGGCGAGAACTTTGTATTCTTACACTAATGATTAGGATTAGGAATTGTGAAATGAGCATCATTGGAAATGTGTTCATTTGATCTATTTCACAAAGTAAGGACCATAGGTAAACATAGTGTGCATGCTTGGTGCATGGGACAGCTGTTGTTATAATTCAAGTAAGAAGTTGATTACCCGAAACAACAAATAATGAGTAATCAATATGGTGATTAAATATAAAATGTTTTATTTATACTCAAAGGTTTGGGGCCATATAGGATTAGTATTATTCTTGTGTTTCACTTTGCATGTTTTGACTTCCCGAATAATAAGATTATTCAAATCTTCCACAGTCGCTCATACTACGGAAGTAGGTATGAATGAAGACTGTCATGAATCCGTCTGTAGATTGTCTAAAGTGTTTAGACATAGCACAAGTTTGCTGCAGAGTTCATGAGTGCTGCTATAAGATTAGAGTATTGGATTAAACCCACGCTCACTTGGATCGCTTCATGGATTTTATCACGAGTGATTCGTGAGACTATAATATCTTATATTCTTGAAACCGAGACGTGTGAGTTGTATTCTGCAAGTCGGGTGCACATTGATAATATGTAAACGCACCAGTAACTTGGTGTTATAAAACATATTATTGTGTGTGATTTGATGAGTAGATACAAGAGATCATTGGAGTCGAAGTTTATCCGTTCCTTTTACCCAAAGTGGATAAAAGCGATATCTGTGGGCCCCTCGATGATTTAGTGATGGCACCCTAAGCGCTTGGCCAAGCCGGGACTAAGTTGATGTGTTCAACTGTAGTATGTTGTCAGTCGTCATAAATCGGAAATCGAGAAACAACACATAGACTGAGAGAATGATTATAATCCATGTCTCATGTCTATATGATATCTAGAATGGAGGAATATATGATCCCTTATCTTAAGGACACGTCACTGATAAGATCAGAGTTCGACAGCGGCTTTTGGTAGCTAAAATTTTCTAGTCAATTTTGAAGTTATACTTACAACTATAGTTATTAGACTTATCCAAGTGGGAGACTGTTGGATTAGGTGTCTAAGCCCATAACTATAATTGGTATGTACTTGAATTGATAGTAGCAATGTCCTTTTGGGTTGCCTTCAAACCTGGCAATTGAATAGGATTATTGTTGGAGAGAGAAGAATGATTTATTAATTTATTACTTGGTTAATAAATTAATTTATTAATGTATTATGGATATAATATATTAATTAGAAATCATATTGTTTAATTAATATTTAATCATAAATTAATTTGGAATTAATTTTGGGATTAAAGAAATTAATTGAAACTGCAGGGACTAAAGGTGACAATGTTCAAAAGTTGAGCATTGAGCATTCTAGAACCTCCCTTAGAGGGATGGAACGAAATCTAGAGTGTCCTAGGGTTTCCTTGGGCTCTAAGGGTGCCTTGGAAGCCTTAGGGAGGAAGTTAAGGGATTAGGGTTATCTAAGATACACCTGCCTTATCCTAAACCTTCCTTATCACCTATATAAACCCTTATAGGTATGTATCCTAACCCTAATTAAATGTTTATTTCGAAAATTACATGTGCCTCCCTAGGGTTTCTAGTTTCTATGTTCAATGCTTGTATGTCTAATAGTGAAAACATGGATCCTTAATTAGGGTTGCATGTACACATAGGATTGTTTGTTTTGTATAAAACCCATCACATGCATGCTCCTAATGAAGAACATATGAATGTTGTTTATCGAATAATGAGGTATCTTAAGTCCTCAACTGGAAAAAGGTTTATTTTTTGAAGAAATCAAAAGTATGAAGTTAGTGGGTACACAGATGCAGAATGGGCTGGTGATCGTATGGATGGGAAGTCTGCTTTTTGGTGCTTCACTTTTGTTGGAGGAAATCTAGTTACTTAGGGAAGTAAAAAACAGAAGGTTGTGTCAAGATCAAGCGCGGAAGCTGAGTTTCAAGGAATGGTACATAGAAAATGCGAGCTCCTTTAGATAAGACAAATTTTACGAGATTTGGGGGATAGTGTTTGTAGAATCTTTGCAATTATATTGTGACAATGAATCAGCTGTGAAAATTGATAATAACCCAGTATAGCAAGATAGAATGAAGCATGTGGAAATTGACAACTATTTCTTTAAGGAACATCTTGAGAAGAAAAATGTAGAGCTTCCATGTGTTGCATCAAAGGAGCACCTAGTTGATATGTTAACAAAATCAGTATATGAGAGAGTATTTTAGAGTTCTCTTGAAAAGTTGGGAATGATGGATCTATATTCTCCACTTTTAGGGGGAGTGTTGACAAGAACAAGTTTTGGAAGTTTGCTCATGTAAATATTATCTAATCGTAGATTATAGGTTGTATCATAGTTATGTTGGTAGTTCTCTTGTTGTAAAAATACATGTATCCTAAGTTAATGATACACAAAGAAAATCGAAAGATTCTTCCACCATCTCGTATCCTTACTTTGTTTCAATTTCAATTTGATAACATAACCTGTAATAATGGAATTCAAAATAATTGTCACATTATTACCATGGTCAGTTTTATATTATATACTAGACGAATTCCCGCGTGTTGCGCAACACAAGTTAAAAATGTATTGTTAAAATATTGAAACATATATGTTTAAAATGGTTATGTTATTAGCTGTAACTTTGACATAATATTTTTACACTAATATATATATATATATATATATATATATATATATATATATATATATATATATATATCTTACTATATTATTATACAAACCTTACTATTTCCAAAAATAACTTTAAGACGTCCAAACCATTAAGCTTATAGTACAAATAACGAAGCCAATCTTATCTCATTCTTTAATTCCCGTCAAATTAAAAAATTCAAAAACTTACAAAAATAGAAATCGTCCACTTTCCCCACGTGGTATTATCTCCAGCTAAACCAACAATTCACAATTACCTCGTATCTCTCCAGTTAATTCGCATAATTGGAATTTTAAAAATCGCCATCTACAAAAACTGACAAAAGTTGATTCCGTCGTTTTCAAACCTATGTTATCGCCTCTTCTAAAAACCATTCCTTTTCTACACAGTTGCTCCTTCTCCGCCTGCTTCCATCAACCATCTTCGTTCATCCTTCAACCATCCTCACATACCCTAACCATTTGTGCCTCCTCTTACATAAGATTCCCAACCATCCTTCCATTTACAAAACCATAATTTCTGCATCACGTAAGATAATCACGGAAGAACGAATGACAATCAGTTTTGAATTTGAGAATTGAATTTTAGATTCTCAGCACCTATCTCTCGGATCTCGCCTCTTTCCCATGTATGTTCACCTATCTTATGGACCATCACCTCAGGTAAGCACCATCATCGCTTGATTGCACCACCAGTATTGCTCTCGACATCAACAGTAGCACCAGATCCACCTCTGCCTGCCAAATCATGTATGAGCATTGATTTGTTGCTTTTTTAGTTTGTTTTTCTGGATTTGAGAACCTTATATTTGCTTTTTTCCCAGGTTAGCAAAAAAAGATGGGTTTACAGTTATTTTGAGGGATTACAAAGCATGCACCCCATGTGTATGATGTAAGGTCTCAAAGAAATTTTGTAGTTTTTTCATTGTCTAATTGCATATAGTTCTTGATATTGTATGTTTTTGATCACCTGCAGGATAAGAATTTTGAAATTATGACAAGTAACATGATTTTAATGCATGACAGTTGGGTCTAATTACAAAAGAATTGCTTAATTCTTTTATCTATTCATGTCAGGTTTTTTATTGCTGTAATGGTCTTCTCAATCAATGCCCAAGTCCGTTTTTCTTCTTCTTCTTTAAGCATTTGCATGGATTTTCAAATTTCAACCTTTAAGCTTCTATTTGGGTTGGTTAGCATTTTTTTCTCTTTTTAGCAAATTACTTTCATTATTGGGTATAATATAGTATCTTACTTTGTATGAACCATTTAATCTCAAAACTCAATAGGACAAATATTGAGAATCCATGTTTTTTGTTTGGTGTTTCTTATATTGGAGCTCTTAGTGCATGATTGTGTTTGAAGTTCCCTCACCACACAATTAGGAGTCCCAAGTTTAGATGTAGGTAATGCAGTTTGCAACTTCACTGAATTCGATCAACATTTTTCTCTATTATGATAGGTTGGTTACTCTACAAGACCAAAATGTAAAGTTGTATTACGTGTAAAGGGATTGAAATTGATTGAATGATAGAAGAATCTAGGAGTGGTTGTATAGAGCTGCTAGAAAATAAGATGACTTTGGTAAATAAATAAGACTTAAATGCAATATATAGCAACATACTTTTGTTGGTTTGTACATTGTTATGTCTTATTTTTGTCTCTTCCTACAATTTAGACCATTGATTAAATTTAAGATGGTTGTGATTAAAAGATAGTGGTGATCCATATTAATCAATTTGGACCAATCATAAAGAGTATACATCATAGACAACACACTATAAATCACATGAAATTCTTGCTAACCCAAATTCGAATTCAGATATAAATTTGGACAAATACTATGCTTTTTTTGTTATTCCCTCTTTTTTTTTTGGTCTCTGGTCATTTTTTCTCCCCCTATCTCGATCTTACAGAAGAGACAAAACAACATAGTTTTGTTTTTGAGATTTTTTGTTCCTTGTACAGATTTAAGAGCAGATATGGAAATATTATTATCTTCACTTTCTCATATGTTAAGGTTTATTGGCTCTTTTGTTGACCAGAGAACCAATTAATAAAGATTTGTTGGTTTTTGTTGATTTGCTCTGTTTTGTTTTGTCTGTTTTTGTTGCACAAATCGTTACAACATAGGCATTTCTGCAAAAGAAGTATCACAACCATTCTAATATTTTTTTTATATGATAATAGTTCTTCAGATGAAGATAGTCGGTTATAGATTCAAAAGACTTGGTATATTTCTGATCTATGTAGTATTTTTATAGATCTTTAGCAAAATGTGTTATATTTATGTTGTATTTGAGGAAATTATTTCAAAACTATGTTTTACGTGTATATATCAGAGGTAATGAGAAAAAGAATCATATTCTTACTGTAAATAACGTTCTAACAATGTTTATGGTTGTTTGTTGATTTAATGGTTATGTTATTGGTTTAGTTGTTTAATCCAATTGTATATGGTTGCTTTGATAAATTTTTGATGTTTTAAAGAATTATTTTATGTTTTTGGTTTTTTGAACAAAACTTGAAAAAACTTTTCATATTTCAATAAAGGGTTCTGATTTTAATCAAAATTTATTTTATGTATTTTTTTTAATTAATAGTCACAATAGTTTCAATGGTATTAAACGTATTTGTCATTGTAGATGGGCTATGTTGTATTGATGGTATAGATGGTAAACTGAAGGAAGATGTTGCATCGCTACTTAGGTGCTGTTTGTTTTTTCGAAGCGAAAATTTATGAATTCTGCGGACTACCTCTGCAATCCTCTGTAGCAGAAGAGGTGGAACAAATGGTTGCAGCCTATAATAAGAAGCATGTTTGTTTTTTAACATCTGCAGACTGCTGCAGTAAATTGAAATTTAAATAAACTAATTTTATAAACTGAAAATAGTTCTCAACACCGAAATTTAATAATTCTAGTCTTAAAACATTGAAATAATAATAAAAGGAACATGTAAAAAAACAAAAATACAAAACTTTTTTTTAAAAAAAAAACTTAAAAAAATGTAAAAGAAGCTAATAGTTTTATTCTAGAAAAAAAAACTAATTTTAAAAAACATTAAAAAAGAAAATAATAAAAAAAATTAAGAAAGTATTGCAAACGATGTCTACAAAATTCGTAAAAAATTACACATGTTAAAAAAGATGCAACTGAAATTGAAAATATTATTAATAGAAACGGTAAAAAAAATAAAAAAAAATCAAGTTAAAAAAAATCGTGGAAACTATAAAAATAAATTGTATCACATCCGTAAATAAAAATTTAAGAAAATCAAAGTTTAAAAAAAAAATAAGTTAAAGAAAATAAGTTATACAAAAATTCTTAAAAAAACATTTGGAAAAAATGAAAGCTGAAGATGTTAGAAGAGACAAGTCAAGTGCTGCGCCACGCAGCACACGCGCAGAGGTTTTGTAGTCTGAAGCCTTTCAAAAAACAAACTGCTGTGAAAGGGAAAGTGCTGCGCGTGTGCTGCACCGCACAGCAATAAGTGGTTTGAAGAGGTTTTTATAAAAAAACAAACAGCACCTTAGTTTGAGTATGGGGGGATTGAAGTTCAGAAACATGATTATAATTTCATATCATATGTTACATTTTGTCATTGTTGATGGGCCATATTGGTTTTATATTGTTTTGTATATAAATTCATGTTGCATTTGTATAGATCTTGAACAAAGAATTTTATAGTTAACTCCTGTGGTTTCGAATGACCAGGAACCGTTGTCGCATGTATACAAATTTTCTGTTTATGTCGTATTTTTTTTATAAAAAACGGTTTTCTGCATTACGATCTTGTAATTTACTAGGACTTTCTCTATTACATTCAATGCTCCTCCAACTTTCCAACTTTTTTACTGCTAAAATATAGCACCTCAAGAAGATGGAAATATATATTTTTGAAACTAATATTAAGAATTTATGATACTAATCAACACATACGTTTTTATGGCTGATAATAATTTGACGCTGTAAACAACTTTTTATAAATAAATAAAATCTTATAAAGAAAACAAATTATAAACTAGAAAGGTTACCCCCGCTACGCGGGGGTCAGAAGCTTTCAATGTTGTTTCCGAATTGATAAATATGACAGACATAGAAAATGCAAGGATGAAAAGTCCGGGCTTTGCCCCGGACCGTTTTTTTCATGTTTTTATGAAAAAATGTAAAAGTTTTGACTGCAAGGACCAGAAGTGTCAAAATGGCTAAAGAATTAAAGGGGTAGGAATTAGCAACTTTTTAGAAAAGGGATCAAAGTTGTCAAACCGTTAAAGTTTTGTGGCCAAACTTTAAATATTAAAAGGTTCCAAAAAACTGTAAAAATATTGATTGCAATGACCAAAAGTGTGAAAATGGGTAAAGAATGAGGAGCAAAGTTGCCAAAAAAACATCCAAATTTAGTATTCGTAACTTTGAAGCCCAACAATAATACATGGTCCAATTCTGTCAAAAAAATAACAAGTTCACTATTCTTTTTCTTCATAACTTTAATATATATATATATATATATATATATATATATATATATATATATATATATATATATAATAATAATAAAATTTGACTTTTCGGTTTCCGATAAACGTATTATTTATGCCCATTACCAACTTTTTATTGATAATTGTGTTTTATATGTTTTCAAATATTATTTTTTATATAAAAAAAGTTTTCTGCATTACGTTTTTGTTTGTATTTTTATATATTTTTGTTATAATTTAAATTAGAATAGTATGTTGTTATTTTTATTTCAAAAGGTTCCAAATTTACTTTCAATTTAATTACAAATACAAACATTAAGGATTCAAGTCTCACTATAAACATAAGTGGAAGAATTTAAGAGTAGTTTAATATATATTTGTATTTACCGTTAAAAAAAATAAAAAATAAATTATTAACCAATCTTTTGGAGTTTATTATTATTAATTTATGTTATTTATGGAATAATTTTTTTATCTTGATGTAATTAAGTAATTAGGTTACTTTAAAATACTATTTAATATTACATAAAGTATCAAGCTAAATTGTATAACTACAAACCCCTTATTTTACAATCCCTTTTTCAATTACCCAATAATCTTTTTTGATGCTCTGTGAATTTGATCCAACACACATAAATACGAAAAGCAGACGGAGAAATTCAGTTTCAGATTTTATAAAATATTACGTGTATGTTATTTTAAAATGAATATTATGATGGAGAGGAGACAACCAAATCGTCTTAGCAAATATCGATTATGAAATCAAAATAATTAGATAATAGTTCTCAAAGTTTTAGCAAATATCTGATCACGTATAAATTCATCTTATTTCTTTACATGGAAGTTAAAAATAAAAAAACATAAAAATCTTATGTTATGTTAAAATGAAGTATAAACTTAACCTCTTCCCCTAAGAAAACATAAATATCATAATAATATGTTCAATTTAAAAGTTGAAATTTTGAAATATTATATCTTTGTAGATTAATTTTTATTATTTAAAAGTACACGAATTATATGAATTAACAAAGATATCTTTTAAAACTTTCTAACACGTTAAAAAGTTAAATTTTAATTTAATGTAACGCGGCAGCAAAAATAATGTTATATAAAATTCGATGTCTTGGTTGACAAAGTATTATTCCAATTTAATGACAATTTAACTAATATAAATGAACGGTTCAACTCAAATGAAAACACTAACATCAAATCCCTAATAATGGAACAAATTAAATCGATAAAACTGAAAGCCAAATCAAAAAACCTGAAAACAAACAAAAAAGACTGCTAGACCAAGTTGATAGGAAAAACCTAGATCGAAAAAAAAAGACGAGTAAAAAAAAGATTGG